GAAGAGTCAAAGCCGGGACTTGAACCCTGAGTCTCCCTGTTGCCTACGCCTCTGCTCCAAGGCCAGCGTAGGCCCAGTTGTCCCCATGAGACAGGGGACAACAGAGACTCGCTCGCTAATGAAAGAGCTTTCCTTTTTATGACACTCATGCCCATACATTATCTTGCTCAATGCTCACGACTTGGCGAGGTGGGTATTAGCCCCACTGCCCTGATGAGGAAACTGAGGCCCGCACAGGAAGTGAGTCATTCAGGCCGCGCTTCCTGCACATCAGGGGCTGGGCTCTCTGACACCCAGCTTCTCAGGCTGGGGTACCCCCTCCCCAGATGCCAGTAGTGGCGTGGTAATGGGTGGGGGCAGTGGTGAGGCTGTCCAGAGGTGTGACCTACCCACTTTCCGTGAGTGCCCAGTGCCTGCTGTCTGCCGGCCGGGGGGGTCCTCTGGCCCCGGCCTCTATCTCCTTGCCCAAGGGAGTTTTCCTCACGGCCCTCAGCCCTGCCTGATGTTTCACCGCACACTTAAGCATAGGTATTGTATCTCTGCCTGGACAGAATGTAAGCTTCTTACCAGGTGGGACACCTGCTGTGTGCTTGGCACCTTGTCAGTGCTCTGTGCTTTGAGTCATATCTCTGACCCCATCCGCCTCTGCTGGGAAGCCCCCTTGGGTTGGGCAGTCTTGCATCCCGGCCTGTTTTGGGTAAAGGTACCCTCTCCCCACTTCCGGGCTCTGGGCCTCGCTGTGAGAACCCCGTCGACGTCTGTGCTCCACCAGCTGCAGTGCCCACTCTCCTCCCCTTTGCTCTCGGAGCCTGTCTTCAGGGCCGTGGCAGAGCGCCGGGGCCTCCTTGGAGCATCCTCTGCCACAGCCCTCACCTGGCTACCTCCCTTGTAACAGCCCCGGGGCCCTGCACCGCCTGCAGAGCTGTGTGTGTGCCCGGCATTCCTACCCTTCCTGCCCTGTGTGGCCACCACGTTTTTCGTCATTTACTCTTCCTAACCACGCATGGGGGAGGGTAGTGCTCATCCTCATTTTATAGATGTGCAGCCTAGAGCCAAGTGCGGTTAGGTGGCTTGCACACGCCGCAGAGCCAGGCAGGGGCAGAGCTGGCCCAGGTCCCTTTCTCCGCTCCAGGGCTTTGGGGCTGAGACTCTGCCGCCCGCAGGTGTGGATGGGACTGGCTGCAAGCAGCCGTGGGATGCAGCCTCCCAGGCTGCTCTGGTCCGCCGCTCATGTCTCATGGCGCTCAGACACCTCCACCCTCCCTGCTGCTGGCGGCTCTGGTTTCACCCTGGCAGCAGGAGCTCGGCCTGGGGGAGCACGTGGGTGGGGGTGTTCCCACTCCTGGCCCAAGAGACGTGGGGTGTGGGATGGGACATTGTGGGCGGTCCTCCTGAGCTGGGGTGTGTCACCTTCCTGGAGTGTGGGTGGTGGCCAGCCCTCTGTGGCGTGGCATCATAGAAATGATAGGGATTTGCTACCCAAATACCTGAGAGGAGCCTTGGTGGCCCACGCCCCGAGCCCGGGCAAGCGGCTTCCCCCCGCTTCTGTTTCCTCCTCTGTGACCTGGGCTGCCAGTCCCTGCCATGTGTCCCTTCCCAGGGAAGCACTGCGGGACAACAGTGCCCCACGTTGTCATGGCAGGGGAGGAGCCCAGCTGCTGTGGGCCTCCCCCACGGGTCCACGTCCTCTGCCCTCCCCACATGTAGGAGCCGCTGTTGGAGGTGGCCCTGGGGACTTGTCTTCTCAGCACGCGTTGCTCTGCTCTCTAGCCTGTCCTGGCTCTCCCCAGAACAAGGGATGTGTGTAGGTAGGGGGGATCTGTCCCCTTCAAAGGCTGAGAGCTTCTGCCCCCCCCCCGCCTCAGGGTCCTCAGTGATGGGGCTCGCGTGGGTATGGCCTCTCTCCAGGCAGCCAGGCCTCCAGGTGGTCACCCTCTCTGAGTTACTTTTCCTGCCAGACCCTGTGCAGGGTCCTGGGCAGAACCCAGCCCTGGTGCCCGGGAGCCCCTGGCAGAGGATGATAGCCATGCGGGACAGGTGCTGTGACAGTGTGCAGATGGCGTGCAGCTGTGCAAGGCAGGCAGGGAGCAGACTGGACCTGGGCCTCAGCTGGATGCTGTGGTTCCCTGCTGGCCCACCCAGGAGTCAGAATCAGGTAGGCTGTGTGTGCAGGTGGTGGCATGTAATGGCTACACCGGCAGTCCCACCAGCTTCTGCTGGCCCCCTCCCGGCCACAACTGGGGCAGAGGCAGTGCCGACAGCCGGGACTGTCAGCGGCCTGTGGGTGTCCAACTGAACCCCACTTCCAACTACCCTGGGCAACTGCGCCACAGCTGCTGAAAGTGATGAGCTCTGGTGCTCTGCTCCCGAGCCAGGAGTCCTCTGGAGGTCAAAGGCCAGAGGTCAGACAGTTCTCACCCCCCCCCCCCATTTTATGGTTGAGGAAACCAAAGCTCAGAGAAGTGAAGAGACTTGGGCGAGCTGACACAGGAGTTGGTGGCAGAGCTGGGACTGGAACCCACTGTATCAGCTGCATGCAATGCCTGCACCTGGCCCACTCCTCTGAGGGAAAACAGGTCACTGTCCCTGGCCGGCCTCCAGGGAAGGCTTTGTTGTGGAGAGAAGAAAGAAAGAATTTGGAGAGACCTGCAGCACAGGGGCAGACACAGAAGCCCAGACTGAGACCGACTGCCTGCCTCAGGCTGAGTGACCTTGGCCGTGTAGCACCACCACAGTGGGGGTGTGGTGCTGGAGTCACAGGAGTCCAAGCACCTGTTCAAGCGCTTTGCGGCCCAGAACTTGTCTCCTGGGCATCATGCGTGTCACTCGGCCCTGCAGGGAGGGGTCCTAGGGTGCCGGGGAATGGCTAGAGCGGAGCTCTGCTCTTGCCGTCCCCTCTGAGCCCTCCTGACGCCCACCCTGCACCAGCCCTGGCAGGGTATTGGGGTTCGCCATAGACCCGACTCAGGCCTGGCCCCCAGGCAGCTTCCAATCTGATGAAAAGACAGTGTGTTTGTCTGAACTGACTGGTGCGTGCCAGGAAGGGAGCCTAGAGCCCCACGGAGGCTGGCGTTCTCTCTCTCCTTCATCCGCAGTGCTGGTCTGGCCTGCTTCCACTCTCAGATTTCCTCCCTGTCGTGGCAAGGCAGCTCCAGCCAGCTCTGGGCTTGTGGGTGGTCTTTAGAATTGACGACCCAAGAGAAGGAAAGCCCTTCTCTCTCCAAAAACGCCAGACACGTGGCTTTAGTTTGTTGTCGGAGGTGAACAGAGCAGGGCAGACAAGCAATGACTTGATGTTCCTTAGGTCCCCTGGGGGCTCCCACTGAGGTCTAGGGTTCAGCATCCCTGGACGGGCTAGCTCCCAAGGCTGGGCTCTGCCGTCAGCCAGGTTGGTCCGAGGCGGCCTGGCCCCCAGCATTCCAACAGCTCACAGAAGCTGCTGATGCCACTGTGCCTGGACCACACTTGGGTAGAAAGTGCTAGAAGCCACTCTGTCTTCTCTCTGCTGGGCACAGCCTGCCTTCCCTGAGTAGAACAGGGTCTCACCTGCCCCTGAACCATTCTGGAGCAGCCGTGGCTCCTGCGGCAGGTCCGGGAGGCAGAGCCATGCCGGATCACGCTGGAGGCCCTCAGACTCCCTGGGAAGCGGGAGTTTGAGAAGGGGGTGAAGGAGCAGTTATGACCGCTGGCCCAGCCTGGTGGCCCGGCTGCTGCTCGTGCTTTGCTGAGTGGAATGGGGAGTGTCAGATGCTCGTGAGCACCGGATCCCGGCCGTGCGCCGGCCTGTAGCAGGGAGCCGCTGTCGCATGGGAAGCAGAGCCAGGGTCAGAACTCTGGTCTGACTCTTCCATGCCATAGCACGCCCCCTCCCTCTGATCCGTCAGACCAGGTAAAGGGGACAGACCCATGCCAGGCCTGGCATCTCCCGTGCACCTCCTCAAAGTCACAGCCATCGGCCACTTTCAGCCAACAACAAGTGTGTGAGTGTCTTCTCCCCCACCCCCGGAAGTCTGCTATGTACCTGTTGCTCTGCAGATTTGAAGGACAAGCAAAGGCCTGAGTGTCAGCCCCGAATCCTTCTCCCTCCCCACCCCCAGGCGAAAGGTCAGGAGACCCTCTAGGACAAGGGTTGTAATGAATCCTCTGTGCTCTGGGCCTTGCACGGAGTGGGTGGTGTGAAGGAATGTTTGACCAGCACACAACAGGCGCTCAGAGAAGGCATGCAGCTGGGGCTCAGCACAGAGGGGGTGTGATGTGGCAGCTGGAGGGAATGGGGAATGGGTTAGCAGCCCTGCCCGGGCCCCTCCCCAGTGTGGCCTCTCCTGCCATCTCCAGGCTTCGTGGGGCCACAGCCACAGTGCCAACTTCATGGGCACACCTTGTCCTCACTTCCAGGCTTGGCGCTGGCTTGGTACTGGCATAGTGTCCTCCAGGTTGCCCAGGGCTCCCTGGGCCCTGGGAGCTTTGCACAAACAAAAACTCCCATGCAGTTTCTCCCCGGGCCGCGAGCTTGGGCACTGGAGATGAAGCCGGAAGAGTCAGTCCCTCTGAAGGTGGCCTGGTGGGGGTGGGAGCATGCTGCTGGGACAAGTGGTATCCGCCGCAGGGGATCGGGGGTGGGAGAGCAGGGACTGGGGATGCTCAAAGTACACTTGGAGGAAAAACATTGCCTACTGGATGTTGACCCTCTGTCCTTGGCCTTGCAGCCACAGCTCGCAAAGATTAAATATTTGCGCTGGATGCAGGTACAGCCTAAGCACCGGAGTTGTACTGGGGTGGAGGAGAGCAGCTGGTCCCTGAGGCCCCTGTACGTGCTTCATCTGCTCTCCACGATGGCCCTGGGAGGGGACACTGTCCCCACTGTGTGTACACAGCCCAGAGTTGCAAAGGGCAGGAATCTGAAGCCAGACCTGACCCTGCAGCCACGTGCCTGTCACCTGGAAGGCACCTGCGGGGGAGGGGGAGGCTGGTGGTGGGCTGACGTGTCCCCTCTGCCGCAGGTGCTGGCTCCAGCATCCTCGCCGCCCTCCAGGACCTCTTCTCTGTCACCTGGCTCAATAGGTCCAAGGTGGAAAAGCAGCTCCAGGTCATCTCGGTGCTCCAGTGGGTCCTGTCCTTCCTCGTGCTGGGTAAGCTGCGGCTCGGACGGGGGGAGTCTGGGCCGGCAGGGACTCTGCACGGCCGCCCCGTGGTCTCCTCGCGCTTACCCTTACTTCTGGGGCTCCAGATCAAGGGCTCTAGCCTGCGGCTGTCAGGAGGGCTCGGCAGCATCCCGCGGGAGGTGGCAGTGTGGTTCCCACTGTACAGATGGGAATCCCGAGTCTCAGAGAAGGTGGGGGCCCTGCCCAAAGGCACACAGATGTAGAGCCAGGTCTGTGGGCCCCCAGTGCCTGTGCCTAGCAACCAGCATTGTCCTACTGTGGGGCCGCTTTGCCCTCCGGCATTAGGCTTCAGTCCTGGCAGTGCTACCCATGGGCCCTGTGACCCTGCGACCCTGCGCGGGTCACTCCAGCTCTCAGCACATCTGTTTCCCCATTTCGAACGTGTCTACTTCACATGGCTTTCATGGCACCGGGAGATGAGGAATGAGAGTGCCTGGCCCAGGGCTGGGCATGCTGAGCCCCCATGATGCAGGCACTGTTGGTCGGGCAGTCCCTGGAGCCCACCCCAGCCCTCGCCCACCCACCCTGCTGCTTCCTACAGCTGCCGGCTTCACGCCCATGCTGTTTTATCCCAGCACCGCCCACATCAGTGCCTTGGTTGCTGCTTCTGCAGGTCTGGCTGGATGTCACCGTGCCCCCGGTTGTCACCCAGGCCTGGGTCAGGACTACTGGGTCATCTGGGAGGAGGGAACAGACCCTGGTGTCCTTACCCAGGCCTCTGCATGCTCAGCATAGCAAGTGGCGTCCCTGGTGCATCGGGCATGGACACGCCTGCTGCTGGGCCTCACAGGGCACAGCCCAGCACCGGGCAGCCAGTCCCTCCTGCCACCCACTCTCCAGGGCTGTCAGGCCGAGGGGATTGGCAGAAGCTTCCGGGCCAGTGCTGAGCGGCCGTCAGGGCACAGGCAAGGACGAGGGAGCTCTTTGTTGAAGCCCCAAAGTGTGCCAGGCCTTTGACATGTCCTCCTTCGAATCCCTACTGCCCGAGCCTGCCAAGCTCATGAAATGGCCGAACTGGGGTATAAGCAAGAAGCCAAGTGCATGCTCGCTGGGGAGCCTGGGCTGCACAGAACCAGCCTACATTTTTAGCCCAAGAGTGGGCTTAGGGGGCCATGAACCCCCTCTAGCAAGCCGCAGACCTACCAGTGTGAGCGTCTGCATGTCTTCTGGGGAGAGGGACCATAGCTGTGGGCAGGTCCTTCCAAGGACACAGGGCCTCAGAAAGAAAAAGACACACTAGTTAGGGGAGCAGAGCAAATTGAAGTGGCCCTCCACAGGGACCAGCTCCCCCCCCCCCCCAATAATGAATATTTAGCTGCTGATTACAATCCTTGGGGAGGGAGCACAGTGCGACCACCAGGCTTTGTTGAGATAAGGAGGAGAGGTCCAGGGAGGACAGAGCCTTGCTCAAGGTCTCACAAGGAGAAAGTAGTGGGGCCAGCACCAGAACCCAGGGACTCTTATCAGCTCCACCGCTCTGCAGGGCCCCCGCTTGTCCCCAGAAGCCCCCACTGTCCTTGTCTGAGTGGTCGGAGCTCAGCTGGTAGGGGGCTGAGCAGCTGGAGGAAGCCCAGCCTACGCAGCATGCCATGGGGATTCCTCCAGCTGTGGTTAATGATTGAGCCGGCCCCGCCACAGCCACAGCCCAGAAACCAGCCCAGCATCTTCCCAACGCCCTGTGTGGGCGGGAGCCGGGCCTGTAGGACAGGGTAGGTCTGCTAAGCTCTGCTAATGAGCACCCTGAGCGCGGCCGCTCCCTCCCACTGCCTCGCAGCCTGCCGGCTGGGACTCACCTGCTGGCACAGAGGCCTCCCTCTGCACAGGGCTTGTCACCGTTTTTACACCATTGGGCCCCTCTGGCATTCTGGGGAAGGCTGTGGGCCTCAGTGGGGATTTCGCTTTGTTTTAATTTTTTATTTTTCCATGAGATGCAGAAAGAGACACACATACACACAAAGAAAAAGAATACTCAGCTACTGCTTCACTCCCACATGCCCATGATGGCTAGTACTGGGCCAGGCAGAAGCCGGGAGCCAGGAACTCCATCCAAGCCTCCCACACGGGTGACAGGGACCCAGCAAATTATCACTGGCGGGAACCATGAGCAGGAAGCTAGACTCAAGGGCTAGAGCTGGGCAAGGAGCCCAGGTACCCCAATGTGGGACACCAGTGTCTTACCTGGCATCTAAACCACCGACCTGGAAGTGGGGCAGCCAGGACTTGAACTATGGGATGCTAGTATCGCAGGCAGCAGCTTTACCCACCACACCACAGCACTGGCCCTGACCTTAGTGCATTTATTTATTTATTTATTTTAGATTTATTTTATTTATTTGAAAGAGTTACAGAGAGAGGTAGAGACAGAGAGAGGTCTTCCATTGGTTCACTCCCCAATTGGCCACAACAGCCGGAGCTGCGCCTATCTGAAGCCAGGAGCCAGGAGCTTCCTCCAGGTCTCCCATGCTGGTGCAGGGCCCAAGAACCTGGGCCATCCCACACTGCTTTTCCAGGCCATAGCAGAGAGCTGGATTGGAAGAGGAGCAGTCGGAACTAGAACCGGCGCCCATGTGGGATGTTGGCGCCTCAGGCCAGGGCTTAAACCCACTGCGCCACATTACTGGCCCCAACCTTATTGCTTTTAAATGTTCAATACAAAATACACTGGATTTCAAAGGAAGCCAAGGATATTGACATGTAAATGTCTACACATTGGAGAAAAGCCAATTACACATATAGTGACACACGCACTATCTTATTACTTCCAATAAAAAGACCTAGCAAGAGGTAGTAATTACTGTAATGGTCAAGTAGCGAGGAGAAGGAATGAGTTTTCAGGACATCTGCCGTTGCTGGGATGCGACATGGAAGTCCCTTTGTCAGCCTGGGATCATGTCACGAGGAGTGCTGATCCGTTGTGGTTTGTGACACATAAGTGAAAGAAATGCTGAATTTCCGTGAGAGGAAAGTGGGTGTTTGGATGTCCTTTCCTTCCAGTCCAGATCCACGGACACTCACTGAGGGCCAGGGTGTGTGTGAAGTCACCACCCGCTCCTTCCATCTCCACCACGCTATGGGGAATTGTGGCCAGGGAGCCTGTCGGGCACGTGGCGGGGGCCTCCGGCACCCGGGCTATTTAGTCTCAGAGTCTGCGCTCTTCATCAGCTCCCACCACTGGGCGTCTGATCGCTGCTTGCCTCCTGGGCTTGGGGCTGCAGAATTGTGTCTCGAGCTGCTGGGCCCCCATGCCACACAGGTGTCCTGAGCCTCCCCCTGGGGGAGCCAGCCTGTTCGCCACACCTCCCGGGCCCAGAGGGATCAGTGCCTGCCGCAGCCCCACCACCTAGGAGGGTGGGACTGGGAGCACAGGACTGGATTCTGAGAAAGCAGTGGGGGTGGGGTGGGGTTCCGTCCTCCCTCGCGCTCAGGAAGCCCTTCTGGTGTTGGCTGCTGGGGGAGAATGCATCTGCCTGGGTTTCAGTGCCTGAGGTGCTCAGGCCGAGGGCCTGCCTGCAGGAGGCAGTCCCCCGGCGAGGGAGGAGACGCCAGGGCCAGGGCTAGATCCAGGAACGCCGTGTCTCCCTGCTGGTTCTTCTTCCCCACGCAGCCACCTTAGCTACAGAGAGGCCAGCTGGGGCGGGACGCCCTCTGCTGAGAGTCAGCCACTAGGCAGTGGGGCCTGGGGCTGCAGACTGCTCAGAGCCTCCTGGCATCTGGGCCCACCCAGGCCCTCCCGGGAGTGCCCACCTGGCCTCTGCAAGAGCTCGGAGACCTGTGGCAGTGGGGGCCAGGATGGTCCCTTTCCTAGGCCTACAAAAGGAGACCTGGGGCAAACTGCTGGCCAGGGTGATCTGGGGCGCGGCCACACATGGCCCTGTGTTGTGGCCTTGGCCCCTGCCTTGCCTTCAGCAGGTACTGCGGGCACACGGCCTCCCGGGCCTGTACTTTCACCTCCTGAGCCGCTCCTGGGCACTGTGATCACACCTTCCAACGTACCTGTGCCCTGGGTCTAGCCCCCCCCCTCCCCCCAGGACAGGCCAGCTCAGGAGTCTGGGGCAGGATGCTTCCCTGCCCTCAGGTTACGGGGAGTGCGCCTCTGGGCCTGTCCTGTCCCATGGGAACCCAAAGGAGGCTGAGCGGGGGGCGGGGAACCCCGGAAGCAGGCCCTGGGGTGCCCATGGCTCGCTCAGTGTCCAGTGGCGGGTGGGCACACAGCAGGGCTCGGCCTCTCCGAGTCGGGTGTGTGTGTGGGGGGGTTGCTGGCAGGGGCCCACGCCTCTAGCAAGCAGGGGTCCCCGCTGCTGCTGGTCCTGTGCCATGTGCCAGGGTGCAAAAAAGCCGTGGCCTGCTTGTGTGGGGCCCTCGGAGGTGAGAGACCGAGGCGGGCAGTGGACGCTCGCTGAAGAGAGGAGATCTGAGCAAGGCCTTGAAGGCTGGCAAAGATCAGAGGGAGAGAAGTGCTGATGAGGGCCTGGAGGGTGAGCCGGGGGCCGGCCCAGCCCTGTCCAGTGCTTTGCTTCTGTTCTGTGCCAGGCAGGCCCGCCTCCGGGGGGCCTCCTAGAGGAGGAGTGGGCTGTGGGCTGTGCTCCCTCCCTATTGCCATGGTAGCCGTGCTGGGCCCTGGCACAGGTGGGACGTGCAGGGAGGAGACAGACCCAGGAGACGAACCCGGGCTGTGCTGTCTCTCAGCGGCTGCAGCTGGGGACCCCCAGGCCCACAGCTTCGGCTGCGCCTGGCTTGGTGCCCCTGTAGTGCACTCGCACTGCACAGAGGGGAGGCCGAGGCCCTGACCGCGGCCCCCACCTCCCCCAGGAGTGGCTTGCAGCGTCATCCTCATGTACACCTTCTGCACCGACTGCTGGCTCCTCGCCGTGCTCTACTTCACCTGGTTGGCCTTCGACTGGAACACGCCCAAGAAAGGTGAGAGCTGTGCCCCCCCCCAGCCCCGACCCCGCACCGCCCCGTTGCACCAGCCCAGGCACCTCATCATGGGCTCTGTGGGAGACGCCCTGGTCCAGTCCGGTGGGTGGTCTTGTGGGAGGGACCGGAGGGACCTCGTGGGAAGGGTCTCTAACCAAACGCCCCCACCCCTGCTTCTCCCCTGGAAGGTGGCAGGAGATCGCAGTGGGTGCGGAACTGGGCCGTGTGGCGCTACTTCCGAGACTACTTCCCCATCCAGGTAAAGGCTGTGCTCGTTAGCCTGGGTCTGTAGGAACGCAGGGCGGAGCTGCACTGCGGCCCAGCCCACCTGTCCACGGTGGCCGCAAGTGCTGAGCTGGGCAGTGTGGGATCCTGTACCGTGAGCATCTGCGGACTCTACCCTGCTTTATGCAGGATTTGAGGCAGCTTGGGACACACGGGATACCATAGCAGGTAAAGAGCAAAATCAACACGTAGGGGGAAAATACAAGTATTTCAGACATAATAAGCAACACACTTGTTGCAGGTGAACTTCATATTCACCTCAGAGCTTCCTGGCAGTCAAGGCAGAAAGGGAAACATGATAGTTCTTGATTTCTTGTCTTGGGCAAGGAGGAGGTGTATTGGTTCCTTGGCAGAAATAAGACTTATTACAACATTTGAATGTAAAAGATGAGAGCCATAGGATAGCATACATTATGACCAGTGCTGGCCTACCATAGAGCAGAATTTAGGCACAGGTGTTTACACAGTGCATAAGATGCATCTCCTCTCAGAGTGTCTGGGTTTAAGCCCTGGCTCTGCTTCCAATTGTAACTTCTTGCTACTGTGCACCCTGGGAGGCAGCAGTGGTGGCTCAAGAACTTGGCTCCCTGTCACTCACATGGGAGACCTACACTGAGTTCTGGGCTCCTCATTTCAGCCTGGCCCAACCCCGACTATTTCTGGCATTTGGGGAGTTAATTTTTTTTTAATTTTAAAGATTTTTATTTATTTATTTGAGAAGTAGAATTAAAGAGAGAGGAGAGACAGAGAGAAAGGTCTTCCATCTGCTGCAATGGCTGGAGCTGGGCCAATCCAAAGCCAGGAGCCAGTGGCTTTTTCCAGGTCTTCCACGCAGGTGCAGGGGCCCAAGCACTTGAGCCATCTTCTACAGCTTTCCCAGGCCACAGCAGAGAGCTGGATCTGAAGTGGAGCAACCGGCACATGAACCAGGGTCCATGTGGGATGCTGGTGCCACAGGCAGAGGCTTAGCTTACTGCACTACAGCGCTGGCCCCTAGGAAGTGAAATTTTTAAAAATTTAAAGAAAAGGCGTAATTCAAAACGCTGGGGGATTTCTCAAGAGCAGAACTAAGGCAGGTCAAGTGCATCTGCCTGGCCCCCGGCTGGAACTCACAGTGGCAGGTCCCAGGGGCCCGCGCTCCTCCCCGAGCTCCTCCTGTAGAAACACCCTTGTCACGGCCGGCTGGGGCTCGTGGTGGTGGGAGCAAGGGCCCCGGCAATCTGCGTGCAGTGAACGAAGCCTGTGAGCTGGCGGCCAGCATACTCGGCCAGCCCGCAAGGACGAGCAGCACCGAGGCGGGGGGGTGGGGATGGGAGGCGCAGCACGCAGAATCAGAAGGAGAGTCTCTTTTATTTGGAGCTTGCCTGCCCCTTTCCCTCAAGAGTCTTCCGTAGCCCGTGAGGCCAGCATTCACCAGATGCCCGGTCTACGGAAGCCGACCCGGAGGAGCTGGGAGCCGCCGAGCCGAGATTCCAGATTCCACTGCTGTCCTGGGCTTTGCCACAGCCCTGCCTTTGTGCGCAGCAGCCCCAGGGCACCCCACATGGCAGCCGCTCAGGCTTCTTCCCGTGGGCCCGCAGGACGGAGACGGGCAAAGCCCAGTGCCCAGGGCAGGGCATGGTCTCCACTGAGACATCACCCCCCCCCAACCCCCGCCGCGTGAAGTCAGGCCCAGGTGACCTCTGGGTTTCCTTCTTGCTTCTCCAGTGGCTGTCCTGGGCCCTGCACTGCTCTTCTGAGCACCTGTGTTCTCCGGGCCGCCCTGAGGCCGGACAGGATACATGGGGGCAGTCCGGCTTTCAGTCTCAGCGCCATGCCTCCGGCCCCTGCCCGGGTCTGCAGTGCAGGCTGACGCTGTGGGCCGTGCTGCTGCCTGGCACGCCAGCAGACTCCTAAAGCTTTTCCCCTGCCTGGCTGGCTCCCTGGGCCCCCAGCCCCAGCACAGCTGCGGCAGTGGCTAACGAGTGGAGGTGGCATGTGAGCACATGATGCCAGGTGGTGTACCCTGGCTGCTGTGAGTCGGTGACTAAGACATCCTGGCCTACTGCCTGGGGGAGGTGGCTGTGTAACTCTACATTCCTCCGCTGCCTGCAGTAGTGTGGGGGTGGCCCCGGGCCGGCTCCCTCTGTCCACCCCAGCCCTTCCCAGGACCTTGCTGCTCCTTGGGCTCCCGGCCCCTCTGCTGACCCCCATCTCAGGCTGTTGCTGCTGGGCGGGTGGGGAGCATGTTGCATCATGGGACCTGAACCTCTCGTTTTGGAGGTGAGGAAACCGAGTCCAAGGAGGGGCAGGGACTTGTCTGGGCTGCACAGCAGGTCCGGGGCAGCGTTGGAGCTGCAGCCCAGCCCTCCTGGATCTGGGCCCCAGGGCCTTTGCACTGAACTCCTGCTGCCTGTTCCTCTGGGACGATCAGCCCTCTGGTTTCCACACTAGGCTGATCCCCACTCCCGGGGTCCAGCTGACCCCCCCTTGCTGTTGGAGGTCTGGGTTCAAGTTCCAGCCTTGCCACCATTCGCTGACCCTATGCTGGGCAGGGGGACACAGAAGAGTCAGCCCCGGCTGCTGTACCACGGTGAGCACTGTCTGATGGCTCCTGCCAGCCTCTGTCCCTCTCTCAAGCTCACTGTGCTGCATTTGCAAACTGCGGCTGTGCACGTGAGAAAAAGCAGTGCATTGGAGTTGGAAGTGAGCAGTGGCCAGTGCTGGGACGTTGAACCATCCCTGCTGTCTCCTTGCTTCAGGGACCCGGCCTCAGTGTCCTCATAGGCCCCTGTGGCCTGGAGTCTGGTAGCATGCCCGCCCCACCCCACAGGATGACGTGAAAGATTGGCGGTCAGGCCTGGGGCAGGTCAGTGTCCCTCCCGCCTGATCGCCACTCTCCCAAAAGATCCGAACAAGCCCAGTGTCCTTATCACCTCTCTGTTCCAAGAAGTCAGCTGGGAATCAGAGCCACAGTGCTCGTGCGAGCTGGCCCTGCGAGGGCCCCTGGGTGCCAGGACTGAGGCCAGCTGGGCCCGAGACAGCCTGGGACGTTGAACCTCAACCTGAGGCCGAGGCTGGACTCTGCCCCTGCCCCTGGGGCCTCTGTGCTTTGGGGCTCTGACGTCAACTCTGAGGCTCTGTAGGGTTGGGTGTGACCCTCCTGTTCCCTGCCCTCTTTCCTGGCCTCTTGCCAAGGCTTATGTAACGTAACTTAACGTAACATGTGGAAGTTTCCCCACCCTCACATTGCATTCTCCGAAGGGCTCTTTGCCACCAGACCAGCCCAGTGGGCAGACAGTGCCTTCTCCTGGGTGTGTGTGGCAGCAGCCACCGCTGGGACCCCTGGCTGCTGGGAAGGGAGTGGGCAGTGCCAGGGTCACCGTGCCTGAGGTGCACGCAGGATCTCTGCAGAGGGGACTGGGGAGGACCGTCTGGGCTTAGACGGACAGTCGGAAGCGTAGAGAGGAGAGATGGTCCCCTCCTGTGCCCCTGCGTCCCTCTGCTGCCTGCCCTGCTGGGTAGGCTGAGGCACAGCTGCTGCTTCTCTGGGCCCACCGTGCCTTTCCTGTCTGGGAGGCAGGCTGGGAGTGACCTGCCAGGAATGTGTCCCAGCTCACATTAACCAGCAGGCCTGGCCTGGACACCCCGCCGGGCTGGGGCTTGGCCCTGGGAAGCAGTCAGGGGACACAGTGCTTCCACCAGCAGTGCCTGTTGAACAGACTCCCAGCGAACAGACTCCCAGCGCCCAGGGCCCTGGGCCTGCACTTAACCTTGGCAGGGGAGGGGAGGAGGAGATGGTGGACAGAGCCAGCTGGGTCTCAGAGGCCAGCGGAATGCTCTCCACCTTGTCATCCAGGCGGCGGCTTAGATCTGGGGACTCCGCCAGCTCGTTCTGTCCCTGGGGCTCTTGATGACATGACAGGCCTGGGCCTGGCCATCGCCATCAGCTTAGGAGCACGTTCCCAGCCCCCACCTCGGTAGAGGCTGGCATGTGTGCTCTCCAGCTGACCCGGTGGGGGCGGAGCTGTTGGTTAGGAGGCAAAAGCCCCGGTAACCTCAGCTCCTCTCGGGACCACTTCCGCCACCCCTGCCCCACAGGCCAGGGCTTAGGCTGCTGCTGTGCCCCACTTGGGGGTGGGCACCTGGGAGTCGGCTGGGCTTTTGAGCTGCTTTTATCTGCTTGCCAGAGGCCAAGTAGGGGAAAGGATCCGAGTGTCCCCCACACTGGGGCCATACAGGCAGGTGCAGCGCTGGGGATGGCGCCAGCCACCCTGTGCCTCCCCGCCAGGCATCCATCACCTACCGATTGGGACCTTTGTCTTCTGAGGTAGCGCCCCCTCCCCCCAATCTGTGCGCAAGGTCCTTTGGAAGCCTCAGCCAGGTTTCCAAATCTGGAGTCATGGAGAATGCAGGCATTTGGCACCATGCCTGTGGTCAGGACTCTGCTCGCTGCTCGGGAGTGTTAGGGGCGCCCTTCTCCTGAGAAGCGGAGGTCAAAGACTTGGATCCTTGTCCTTGGGAGCCATATCCCTAGCTGCGTAGTCCTGAGAGCAGGCAGAGGTGTGGACAGAGGTGCCCTTTGAAGTGTTGCGTTTGCGGAACTGCCCAGACGCCTGCCGGCCAGGGTGCAAGTCCGTCCCGAGGGAACTGGGTGCGTCGGTAGAAAATGGGGGTAACAGCCACATCAACCGCAGCACCTGAACGTGTAGTTTAAGCAGAAACTGTTGGCGTAGAAAAAGGTCTCGCTGTGCCAGAGCAGCCCGTGGGGAGGGTGGGAGCCGCGGCCCTTCCCAGTCTCCTGTTACGTCACTGAGCTCTGAAAGCTCTCCATGGGGATTTGTTATGCTTGTCATCGGGGGCAAAAAGTGATAGTTCCCCAACAGAAGGCTGTCACCTTCCCTTCCCTCCACCCCGTCCCAGGCTGGGGGCCTCTCACTGCACCACCCCAGCCCTCCAAGCCAGCAGCCTTGGGGCAGGGGCCTGCCTGGAGGGAGCCCAGGACGACTTTGTTGGTAGAGCCGCACCCCGCCCAGGCCGGCTGCAGCACGGCACTGGGCAGCCGATTGCCCTGTCCTGTCCTGCCTCAGGACGTGAGCTGCGCGTCGGTGCCTGGCAGGAAGTTTCCATTCAGGCCAGCAGCACGCCCTGTTCTCTGGGCCCGGGAGATGGAGCTGGGCAGCTCAGTTCCTTCTGTGAGCTGTTAAGAGCCCTCCAAGAGGCTCAGTGTCGGGGGAGACTGTCAGCGGGGGTGGAGCTTGCAGCCGAGGTCCCAGTCGCCTTGGACTTGGACTTTACCCTGATGGACGCTGGGTGCCTCTCCTTAGTCTGAGACTGGCAGGGGTTGCATTTAGGCTTTAGAACAATTCAGATGCCTCTGAGGAGGAGGATGGGCCCAGAGGAGGAAGGCAGCAGGGGCAGAGTGCAAGAGAGAGGAGCTGGCATGTGATTGGCCGAGGCATAAGGGAATGAGGGAGAAAAGTCCCCACACCCAGGGGCCAGGTGTTGAGAGATAGGGATCAAGTGTGGGGTCACCGCAGCTCCAGAGGCCTGGCACGGGTCCTTCCCCACCCTCTAAGCGTGCCTGGGTGCCCCCTCCCTGCCAGTTCCCACTGACCTTGGCTTTCCCCACAGCTGGTAAAGACGCACAACCTGCTGACCACCAGGAACTACATCTTTGGATACCACCCGCATGGCATCATGGGCCTGGGTGCCTTCTGCAACTTCAGCACGGAGGCCACTGAAGTGAGCAAGAAGTTCCCTGGCATCAGGCCCTACCTGGCCACGCTGGCTGGCAACTTCCGGATGCCCGTGCTGAGGGAGTACCTGATGTCTGGAGGTGAGCGTCGCCTCCATCCGCTGGCTTCCCGGGTTTGGGCCAGCGCTGCTCTGTGGAGGAGGGTGATGTGGGCACCCAGCTCTCCGGGCCCTGCTGTGAAGTATCTGTCCCAGACCTAGCAGGAGCACTGGCATGCTGGAGTCCCATCCGCCCCAGGGACCCCTTTTCTGGGCACCCCAGCCCTTGTGTTGCCCTCTCTACAACTTGACCATTGTCTGTGGCGCTGCCCTCTGACCTCTATCAGCCCAGTTCACTGGGATCCCCAGCAGCAAGCACAAGCCCAACAGAGTCAGAGCCTCAGGGAATGTTCGCAAAGCAAACAAGTTCCTAGAACAACCTTCTATCGTTATGCCCATCTTACAGATAAGTAAACTGAGGCTCAGCAAAACGATTTGTTAAAGCAGCTTGCACGTGGCTGGGTTAGGTGCCGGGCCCAGTCCCGGGCTTTCTGTGTCATGTTCGACAGTGTCCTTCCTTGAGCAGTCCTGACCGTGTGTCCCTCCCTGCCCCGCAGGCATCTGCCCCGTCAACCGGGACACCATCGACTACCTCCTGTCCAAGAATGGGAGCGGCAACGCCATCATCATCGTCGTGGGGGGCGCAGCTGAGTCCCTGAGCTCCATGCCCGGCAAGAACGCCGTCACGCTGCGCAACCGCAAAGGCTTCGTGAAGCTGGCTCTGCGCCACGGGTCAGTGCCTCCCGCACACATGCACACACGTGCACATGCACGCACACACCCGTGCACACCCCACGGCAATAGGCACCTTGCCTCTGGGGATGGGGCCCAGCCCCCCAAGGAAGGCCTAGGAGGGAAGGCAGGTGGAGCTCACACCACGTGGTTTGGGCCAGGCTTGCCCAAGTGCAGGCTGAGTACCTGGGTGTGGCAAGGGTGGGGCCTACTGGTGGGCTGAGAGGTGGGCTCTTCTGTAGCAGGGGCCGAGACGTGCATGTGGCCAGGAAAACCAGAGGCCAGGCAGGGAGGTGAGGCTGGAGGCCGCGGGGAGGCCAGCGGAGGTGACCTGAGGATGAGCAGGAAGGAGCCGGCAGCTTTCCAGAGAGCCAGGGCCGCATTCCTTGTTGCCCACCTGCTCATCACCTCCCGTTGACAAAGCACATCCCACCCTATGTGCGCCTGCTTCTGCTCCCCAGCAACCCAGCAGGTGGTCACAGCCCCAGCTCCCTCTGGGGAACACCCAGTGAGGCTAAGGGACCCAGCCAAGGGCTAAAGCGTGCAGACTCCAGCTGCACTGCTCTCCTGCCACATCTGGCGCCAGGGTGATGGACCCCGGCAACAGCCAGGCCTGGACGGGAGCCCGGGCTGCACACACCATGTGGAGAAGGCCCGGGTGTCCCAGAGTGTGGCCACAGGACCTTGCCTCAGGCTTCAGAAGAGGCTGCTCGGCAGGACCCTGGCCTGGCCAGCCCCTGGGGGCACCGTCACGTCACGCGGGTCCTTGCCTGCAGGGGAGGGAGGATGGACAGTTAGTGACAACACAGTGTGAGTCCACAGCTGGCAGAGGCTGGGGGATGGGATAGGGAGGCAAGCACGGAGGATGCGGGCACAGAGTGGAGAGTGGTGTGTGGGCAGAGGGCCCTTCACAGCCTGGCGCGGGGGGCACAGGAGCTCAGACTGCCCTCCCAGAAGATTCCAGGGCACCCCGGGGGCAACGGGGCAGCCGGGCCGGCGTCTGGGCTGCCAGCAGGCACCGAAGCCAATGATGGGGCCATGGCAGAACCGGGCCTTTTCCCTTCCAGAGCCGACCTGGTTCCCACCTACTCCTTCGGGGAGAACGAGGTATACAAGCAGGTGATCTTCGAGGAGGGCTCCTGGGGCCGATGGGTCCAGAAGAAGTTCCAGAAATACATCGGCTTCGCTCCCTGCATCTTCCACGGCCGAGGCCTCTTCTCCCCGGACACCTGGGGGCTGGTGCCCTACTCCAAGCCCATCACTACCGTCGGTGAGCCCCGGCCCTGGGGCTGCACTGTTAGCCCGGAGGGCTTCGTGTGCCAGCTGTGGGTGGTGGGGTGGGGCAGGGCAGGGCAGAGGCCCATTGCTGGTTGGAAAGGTGCACTGTGCCCGCTGGTCTACCAGGAAGACACACTGCCACGGAGACCCTGACGGCAGGGAGAGGGGGTGCCTCGCGGGTGCCATCGAAGGCATGGCACACCCCACAGAGCAGGCGACTCTTATGCAAGCTGGCTGGAATTCTGCAGCCGGACAGGGGAGGAAGAGAGTGTTTGGGAGGCAGCATCCTAAGTGAGGGTGCAGAGACAAGAGTGTAGATTTTTAAGGAACAGAAAGGAGAAAAGCAGTACACCTGGAAAATAGAGCGGTGGGAGGGGCAGCCCAAACAGCCGTGCTTGGCTCCCAGCTGTGTGCTCGTGGGTGTCTTTGGGGCAACTTAGAGGATTCCAGAGAGTGACCTATTGAGAAGAGTGTGTGCACAAATGTGTGTACATGTGTGCATGTGTTTGGACACAGGTTTGCACACTTGTATGCACATGGGTGGGTGTGTGCATGTTGGTATGTATGTATGTATACTTGTGTGTGCACATGGGTGTGCGTGTGTATGTTGACATGTATGCATGTATACTTGTGCATACACAGGGTAGGTGTGTACATGTCTTTATGTGTGTACACGTGTGTGTGTATGAGTGGGTGTGTGCATGTTGGTATGTATGCATATATACTTGCACATGGGTAGGTGTGTACTTGTTGGCATGTATGTGTATACACGTGTGTACATGTACACATGGATGAGTGTGTTGGTATGTGTGTATGCACACAGGTAGGTGTTTACATGTTAGTATGTGTATATGTGTGTGTACACATGAGTGAGTGCATGTTGGTATGCATGCATGTACACTTGTATGTGCACACAGGTGGGTGTGTACATGTTGGTATGAATATGTGTACAATTGTGTGTGCTCGCAGGTGGGTGGTATATGTGCATGTACACTGTGTGCACATGGGTGGGTGTGTACATGTTGGTGTGTGTGTACATGTGTGTACATGTACACATGGGTGAGCGTGCACTCCCCTGCACAGTGTGGCTGGCAAGGGCAGTGGCCCCTGGGTCATGACAAGGACCGTGCTCAACACCTCGAGAATGGAAACCTGCCCTTGCCTTTGGGAAGGGAGGGTGGAGACTGACACTTTAACGTGCCCCTTGGGGCTACTAGATAGAAAACGGGTTAACAAATGGAAGCTAGAGAGCATTCCAGAAGAGTCTGTGGTCCTTGGTGGCTGGGCCTGAGGGAGCGGCCATGGAGAGGGAAGAGAAGTGCAGGAGTGTGGCAGAGACTTGGGAGCTGGCCTTCAGGGCCGGGCTGGCCGTGGAGAGGAAAGCAGGGTAGATCACAAGGCCACACGGCGTGGGGATGCTGGTCGCCTCCTCACTCTCCCTCCCACCCCGCGTTTCAGCGCACGACACAGCGCTCACAGAACCCCCAGCAGAGCCGAGGCTGTGTGACAGCCGTGGAAACTGGGGCTGAGAGGCCTGCCGGGATCGGATCGCCCAGCAGCTGCTTAGCAGCTGTGTGGCCCTGTGCACGTCTCTTCCCAGGCCCTGTGCCTCAGTCTTCTCGTCTGTGAAAGGGGGCATACTGAGAGGGAGCGCATGGAGCAGTTGGCTCACACTGACTAACCAGAGGCCTCTACCCCTCCGTCCCTGCAGTGGGGGAGCCCATCACCATCCCCAAGCTGGAGCACCCGACCCAGCAGGACATCGACCTGTACCACGCCATGTACATGGAGGCCCTGGTGAAGCTGTTCGACAAGCACAAGACCAAGTTTGGCCTCCCGGAGAGCGAGGTCCTCGAGGTGAACTGAGCCCGCCCCTGGAGGCCAGCTCCCAGAAGGAAGCAGCTGCAAATCATTTTCTACCGAGTTCTCAAGTGCTTTTTGTTCTGTAAATTTAGAAGCGTCATGGGTGTCTGTGGGTTATTTAAAAGAAATTATACTTTGTTAAACCATGGCAATGTTAGGTCTTTTTTGAGGAGGAAAATGTCACTGCCTACAGCTAGCTCTCCCCTTTCTGTCTTGTGCTGTCCCGGGTGGCGGCTGACACGGCTGGGCCTCCACGTCCACCTCTTGCCCTCCCAAAGTGAGGGTGCACACTTGGCCCTGGTCAGCTGGGAAGGAGGGAAGGCTGGCCCCCAGGGACTCTGGCCAGGCGGCGCACTGGCTGTCTGCGGCCAGCAGGGAGACGGGCAGCAGGTGCATGTGCGGGGCTTGACAGGGCAGCACGTGGAGGGCACCGCGGTTGTCCCCGTTTGGGGAAGGCCTGGGTGGGCGACTGGAATGCTCCGCCTTGACTCTCCTTTCAGCCCCTCACCCACCCCCAGTCTCAGATCTGCCTCCTGGGGGAGGCGAGGGTGCCAGCAACTGTGCTGGGGACCAGGGTGGGCCCAGACCCACCAGCCTCCACGTTCTGGAGTGGGGGTGGCCTCAGCACAGGCTCAGTGCCAGCCCAACCCACCACCCCCAAGTGTGAGGGTGAGGAAGGGCCCGTCTTCTAGTCACAGAGGGGCCTGGCCTACTGCACAGCACATTGGTCCCAAGACAAGAGGTGCGGGCCCCCGGCCTCGCCCTTCTGTGGCTTTGTGTGGGTGCCGACCCGGGGAAGAGCCCCAGCCCCTACTCCGTGGCTTCTGTTTGTATCCTGTCGGACTTTTGTATATTCCCGACGAATAAACGAAAACGAGAAGCCTCTGTGAGTGATGGCCGTGTGTGACACACCTTTGGCCCCCAGGGAACTGCTGTGTGTGGCATAGCCTCTGCTGAGAACCGGTCACCTCAGCATTGAGCAGCTGCAGGCACTGGCTGGGGGTCTCAGGGCCGCTGTCCCCCAGGGCCACATCGGCTGGGGAGGGGGCCAACTCTGCAGGTGTCACCAGGCTTGGCGGAGGAGGCAAACATTCACTTCCTGGCCAGCTGTTGACCTGAGGCCACTCTCAGATCCTTGCCTCCTGGGCCTTTCCAAGGGACAGCTCCCAACACAGCAGAGAAAGTGAGCAGGAGGAACCAGGGTGCCAAGAGCAAAGTGGCCCCGCCCCTTACGACTGCACCTTCACTGACTTCCTGAGCCCTCCTGCTGTGTTCTGGTCATTAGAGGCCAGCACACACTTCAGTGGAGGGGATTGTACAAGGGGCACAAAGCAGGCAACATGAAGCACAAGACTCGTGCCCAGCTGGAAGCTTCTAGAATGGCTGAACTGGATCACTCAGACTGTGGTCCCTGCCCTGGCTTCAGCCATAGCACAAAGGGAGAGACCTGGACTGCCGTCACGCTAATGATTACGAGATCTCACAGGATGGCACACCATGACTCCAATTTGTTTTTTTTTTTTTTTTTACATTATTTTCATTTTATTTGAAAGGTAGAGAGGTCTTCTAGCTGCTGTTTCTCTCCTCAAATGCCTGTAACACCCAGGACTGACCAGGTCAGGCCAGAGCCAGGAGCCTGGAACAGGGATGGCACAGACCCCAGTACTGGAGCCATCACCTGCCTCCCAGGATGCATGTTAGCAGGACGCTGGATCATAAGCGGAGGAGCTGGGATTTGAACCAGGCTCCCCGATGTGGGGTGTGGGCATTCCTGAACGCCCACCCCCTCAATTCTGTTCTGTTCAGTGAATTCTGGGAACGCATCCAGCACAGGGGGCTCAGGTCAGAGGTCAGGTATTTCCTTCAGGACACGGCAGGGCGGGGAGCCTGTTTCCTGCTGAGAGTCTGAGCCCCAGCCTGGGGCTGACTCAGGGCTGATGGTAACCCCCAGCTTCTGGTTCAGGCCAACCCCTGGCCCTAGTCCAGCCTCCCATTACTCTCAAGCATTACTCTTGTGAGTAGTGGACATCTGTCGCACACTAGGAAACTCAGCCATCCCTGCCTCGGGACAGCAGGGCTAATGCCCAGGTCCCAGACGCCCGAGGGATCTCCTAGTAGTGGAGCCCAGCCCTACTCTTAAGCTGAGCAGGAGGGACCCAGGTAGGTGCTGTGAGCATTGTCTTGGGACAGGGAACTGGAACCTCCTGTACCCAGAAGCCACTCTACCCTTTTTGGGGTGCTACTGCAGCCTCCTCCTGGCTTCTGCCTGTGGTTCCCAGAAATGGCCACAAGGGGGCACTGAGGATGGCTCTGAGGCCAAGGCCACAGCTGCTCAAACCGTTTATCCACCTTCTACTCTGGGCTTAGTGAAAGTAAAATCTTGGACTCACAGATGCTCAGAACTAGACAGAAACCTAGAAATTATCCAGAGCCACTCCTCCTACCTGGGGAAATTGGCCACAGGGTGTGCCTTTCATCTGGGCGGATCCGGGAACATTACCACGAGCCGCCTCTGGGTGGCCCCAAGGGCTTCTCAGTCCTGGGGTGTTCGTAATGTAATCAGGCAGCAGAAATGAAAAACACTCATCTTTCAGATTTTTTAGAAGTTCATTTATTCGAAAGAGAAACAGATCTTCCATCTGCTGGTTTACTTCCCAAATGCCTCCAACAGCCAAGTCTGGGCCAAGCCAAAGCCAGGAGCCTGGCACTCCATCCGGGTCTCCCACGAGGGTGGTAGGGGCACCAGGACCTGTGCCTGCAGCAGCTGGATCAGAAGCAGAGGCTGGAATCAAACCCTGCACTCCTGATATGGGATGCGGGAGTCCTGAGTAGAGGCTCCCACCTGCTGCACCACTGTGCCCACCCCGTCTTTAAAACTAACCCTCGCCTCCTATTATGTGTCCTGTCCGGTCCCAGACGTCACCACTGTGCACCATCAGCAGAACATGGTGGACTCTGCTCTCCCCAACTCCAGTGCCTGCACGCTGATGCTACTGTTGGAATGTCTCTCAAATCCCTCCCTCCTTCCTTGTCCTTGAGAGCATGCACTAATGAGTGTGGGATCCAGCTGGAGACACTGCCAAGACACCATGCCAATTTACGTCTCTGAGCCTCAGCTGCTGCTTCTGTAAAATGGGCAGAATCCCTACACCTGAATAAATGAGATAATGGGTAGCACGATACAGGCTAGGTGAATGAAGTGTTCATCTCGGGCCTTGGCCCACAGCTGCGAGTGTGATCATCACCACGGAATTGAGCGCCCCGTGTCCTGGCTTCTTTGCACCTCATGGTTCCTGCTGCCGTCGAAGTGGCCTGCTGCTTGCCCTTCTGCTTTGCTTTGCTTTCTGTTTCTCTTCTTTCCAATAGAAGTTGTATGGAGATGCAATCTGCATGCCGTAAATTGCACCGTTTTTAATTGCACAGGACAGTCGCTTTCCTACATTCACCAAGTGCACATCAGTCAGCACTCTCCCAATTCCACGGTATTTCCATCGCCCTCATTTAATGAGTTACAATGGGGTCTCTAGGAGAGAGAGAGAAACAAGGACTTCCCCAACCCCTGGCTTCAGCCACTTTAAAAAAAATGTATTTATTCGAGGAGGAGGAGAGAACTCGTAAGATAGCCGTTCCCCCAAATGCCCTCAGTAACCCTGGCTGGGGAACCCAGGAGCCAGGAATCACCCAGGTCTCCCATGTAGGTGGCAGGAGCCTAGTAACTTGAGCCAACACCGCTGCCTCCCAGGGCCTGCATTAGTGCTGGAGTTAGGTATCACAGCTGACAGTCAGAGCCAGGCACATGGGTGGGACTTGGGTGTCCTAACCAGAGTTAACCTACAGGCCAGATGTCCTCCCGGAACTGTGGTGGATTGAGAAGGCTGTGCCAAGATGGTGCTGGCAAGCAAGCATCAGTTATTCAGGAAATGGCTTCAGAACCCACCTGGAGCCTGCCTGGCAACAGGCAGTGATTGGTTACAGCATACACCGCCCCTTGACTGGATTGGATGCCTTGGCTATATAAGCTGCTGCACCAACTGAACTAAAACGAGTCTGTGAGCTGCTCGCCTCTGGCCCTCTTTCACCCAGCTCCCTTTGTCTGTGTTGTGACTCTGCACCTCTTGCCCCGACCACGCTTCTCCTTTCAGAACGAATCCACAGCAACACCAAACCACAATTTCTGTAACAAAATCACGCACCATATGTATTTCTTTTTCACTCCCCAAATGGCAACAGCTGGGGCTGGTCTGGGCCAAAGCCAGGATCCCACATGCGTCACAGGGTTTGGGCCATTGCCTACTGCCTTCCCAAGTGCATTGGCAGAGAACTGGATCGGAAGCGGAGCAGCGGGAATGCGAAGCTGCACTCCAGTGTGGGACGCTGGCCCTGCAGGTGCAGCATAGCTGCCTGGGCCACAACACCAGCCCCTCTTTCTGTCTGTCTTCCTTTATTTATTTATTTATTTGTTAATTGTTGTGTTTGTTTCTGAGAGGCAGAGACATGGAGAGAGCTTCCATCCACATTCACTCCCCACATGCCCGCATGGCTGGAGCCAGGAACTTAATACAAGCCTCTTACGTGGGCAGCGGGGACCTGACCAATTGACCCATCACTTGCTGCCTCCCAGGGTCTGCATTAGTAGGAAGTTGCAAGCAGATGCTGGGTGCAGCAGAATAAGACGTGGATGTCTCAAGCGGCGTCTTAACCGCCAGGCCGAACATCTGCCCCCGCCCCATCTATGTTTCAAACTTCTTTTCCGTATTCCTGTTTTCTTTCCTTGTGAACTCTTTTTCAAAAATATTTTTTCATCACTTTCTGTTTAGGATCTTTTACTTCATGTATTTTCATCTAATTTTTTGTCACGCATACATACAATCTTCCATTTTTTTTCATACAAATCACAATAGCACACATTTAAAAACATTCCTTTTCTCACTTCTTTTGTTTTGAAAGATTAGTTATTTAAAAGTCAGAGTTAGAGAGAGAGAGAGAGAGATCTTCCATCCACTAGTTTGCTCCTCGAGTGGCTGCAACAGCTAGGGCTGAGCCAGGACAAAGCCAGGAACCAGGAGCTCCTTCCAGGTCTCCCACATGGGTGCAGCAGCCCAAGCACTTGGACCTTCCTCTACTGCTTTCCAGACACATTAGCAGGGA